CCCCAAAACCCCAAAACCCCAAAACCCCAAAACCCCTTTTTGAGGATTAATATTGAAAAGTTTTATGCATTCGTCAAGTGGCCAGTAAGATCTATATTTCTCGATAAAATTGCCAATAAGTTATGAGGTCAAATCTGAAATTGCTTAGTAGTAATAATTAACAACTTTAATATCTTCGAATCCCCAATTTAGTAGGATCTTTGTGATCTCTGGTGTATTAAATCCCCAGTTCATAGTTTTTATCTCTTTAAGACTCTTCCTTAAATCTGGAGACTCTGCAAGGGCCTTTAGAAGGTTTGACATGTGACTTGTATTTTCTGGGAAGTTGCCGTAGGATCCTCAAGATGAGAAATCAAGCTTCTCTATAGTACAGCCTGATAGAACTGATTTTAGGTCTGGACTAGTCGATAACTCTAGTTTTCAGCATTCAAAACCCAACTTTTTCTTGTTCTTGGCAGCTGAGAATAGGGATATCAAGTTTTCTTGGCTTATTTCATAACAATATATCATGAGATCATTTTTCACATGGGGTGCTATTGCTAGGATATCATTAATATAGTAGTCTAGCCCATCTGAAAGCTTTGGTCCATAGTTGAACTCAAATCCTTCTAGTTTCTCAGGAAAATAATTTTGCATGAAATTAATCACCACTTGATTTTCAGGAGGAACATAATCGAGTCGAAGGGTTTTGATATTAGGAGCAGTCCTATCTATCTTATTCAAGAACTGCATGTATTTCTCATCTCTGAGTTCGAGCCCTATCTCTGACACAGAGCATATAGACATTGAGCTTCCAACTTCCTGTTGGAACAGAGCATTGAACTCTTCAATAGTCATGGCAAGTATAGGTTTAGCTGTATCCACTTTGGGAGCCATGCCTTGGATAATCTTCTGCAATTTTTTATTCTCGTTCTCTAGGTCTTCGATATGGGCCTCTTTTTGCTTGAGCTCCTCTTGGAATCTTTCAATTTCTTCGGATTTTTCCTGGAGTAAGATCTGAGGAGACTTGGAATTCTTGTTGCCAGTGCTGTCTTCATTTGTCAAACTCCAGAAGAACTCCTTTGTGAATTCAGAGAACTCAGTCTCAGTGTCGATTTCCTTTTTGATCGCGTTGGCTTGATCTCTTAAGTCCTTGTATTTGTAAAATAATCCTTCTTGGCTTACAATCTGCAGCTGTTGTCTTAGTTCTGTAAGACTCTGGGAAACTTTTAGATAAAGGTCTTTATGGGTATCTGTTAGGTCTTCTTCACTATCCATGAAGACTTTGTAAATCATGATCGCCTTTTCTAAGCTATTTAGCTTAGTCTTGACTAACTCTGACTTGACCAGCCTGGCTCCTTCTTCAGGTAGGAACTTTAAGTCAAAATGCTGGTCACAATAGTACCTCTGCTTTTCTGTGTGATATATTGTAGCAGCTCTGGAGCATGGGTGGCTAAAGCACGCTGGCATTTATTTGAAATAAAGTTATCCAATATTTGAGGAAAATTTTGGGGTTTTGGGGTTTTGGGGTTTTGGGG